CTTTTTAACACAAGTATCTGTACTTTTACTCAAGTACGGAAAGTGAGTACTTTTGCCATCTCTGCCTATATGTTTAATGTCATTAGGAAATAATATTGGCAGTTGCTTGTGGGACATTTGTAAAATGCAGCTCATATAGCAAGACACTGAAAAAACTAACCTTCAGTTTTTGGGGGGGTTTTCTTCCACGCACTTTCAGACGGAGCCTCCCAGTCAGCTCCATGTCCGCATCCAGAAGGAGCTCTGGAGGATTCAGGATGTGATGGAGGCCGTCAACAAACAGAAAGCTCAGAGAAACGCTGCAGAGGGGCCTGGTTTCTATGGATCCAATTCCAACTTCAGTAAGCACAAAAATGAGGTGAGTGGCCATTAAAAACACTGTTCCAAATCAATTAGAGAAATCAACTCAAATTAATGAGTTTATGTGAATGCACTTTTTGGTCTATCCTCTAATGTTAATGTTGGTTCTTCCTTTTTGATACTTTCTTGAAAAGAAGTGATTTATCCTGTGCAGTAATGTGGACAGAAGCTGCTTGCTGGCAGCTTTAATGGCCCTAAAGAATTGCGTCTGTCAGGCGGTAACAATAAAGGAGGCGTTCTCTGGCTAATCAGATGGTCAGCGCATACCATGGGCTAAAACTACTCTGTGCCAGATGGCTGTTACCCTGATCCTACATGGTGGCACCATGTGTCACTTTGCTTCCTATCCTGTAATGCCCTATATAATCCCCAGGAGGAGGACTCGGCACCCCCGCGGCCGCCTCTTCCCCATTCCTATGAGCCGAACTCCCCCGTTGTGCCCCCTCTGCCCGCCTCTCACTCTGGCGCACGGCCATCTTCGCTCCAAAGGCCAGAGGACAGGAAGGCCAATCAAAGGAATAGCTCACAGAGCGTAAGCTTGTTGACCCGCTGACCCCTTTTGGTTAACCCCGCCATCAGCTGCTCCATCACACTCCTTAGTTAACTGGATGTGTTTCAGTTACTTTTCTGTTGGGTCATTTTTCGCATTTCTCAACATGCTTCCATCTTTTTGCTTATTTCTCTTTAATCAATGTTTTTTTTTTCTGTTCTTCTGTGTTATAACTTGATTTCACCTTATTATGTTTACATAGAAACCATAAGTTTGAATTTGTTGGCCTGCTTTCTAACTGACTCAAACTACAATAACTTATGATTAAGTCTTTGATTGTGTATTTAACCTGTTTTTTGGTTGCAGGGTCCTGACTACAGGCTGTATAAGAGTGAACCGGAGCTGACCACGGTGGCCGAGGTGGATGAGAACAACGGAGAGGACCGATCAGAGCATCCGTCTGACAGAGAACATGCTGGAAACAAAGGTGGGAAACTGTTAAAAGCCAAACTAAAGCCAAACTAAAAAAAGGAAATGTTGTGTTTTAAAGATGTATTACACACAGATATATTTTATGTGATTATTACAGTTAATTTGATGATTAAAACGGAAAGATATATCAAAAACATTTAAAACATTCAATAAAATCAGAAGAGAATTTGAGCTGAATAGCAGAGATTTCTTCAGATACCTACAGCTAAGACACTTCTATGCCAATGAGGTTGAGAAAGAATTATCACCAGAAGGAAATTAGTTGATTCAGCTCTTTGTAG